GCAGAAAAATTTGACACTAACCAAATCAGTAGAGCACAAGGAGAATTTATACAAAATGGTGTACAGATGGCATCTGGTGCCCTCCAGATTGGCCAAAATATTTCCGACAGCCAATCCTTGCTGTTGGAAATGTAAAGGGAAATTTGGTACATTCTTTCATTCATGGTGGACTTGTCCTGAGATAATATTGGAAAAACCCAAATGCACCACCAATACAGGTTGTTATTCAGAAAACATATTTGTGTGCCCAACTGGAGAGGCTTACACTTAAAATTAATGGGAAGGAGGATACAGATTATTACCGGATATGGGACAAATGGCATAAGTGGGTAGACAATAAAAGGGGAAACATGTAAATGAACCTAAGCTACAAATTATATCCAGCGATTCATAATATATTAAGTACATAAAAACAATTAAAGGTTTTAAACTTTCTTTTCTTTGTTACTACTATTATCAGTATTAGCTATTTATAATATTTTTGTGTTTATTAATTAAAAACATGAATGTATTAGTAATAGAAGAGTAGTTATAATTCAACATGAAAATAAATATTGTGAATTATTTAGCGCTTAGGATGTGATAAGGTGTGAATATGTGACTAGTACTAGCCAGTAATGGTTTTTAGGACTCACTAACTTCAACAACAAATGTAAAAAACTATGTGTTATTATTGTTTCTGTATTTTTGGAATTGTGTGTTTTTAAATTTGTAATTAAAATTGTTTTTAAAACTTTTTTAAAAAAGAAAGAAGGTACCTTGTTGATGTCACACTTCTAATACTTCTTTCCCTGGTGGTATCACACATTTTTATATTACTGAGAATTGTTATTCCTAGCCTAATCCATGATGGAAGGAGCCTTTGAAATTTACCCTAACTTGTTAAATGTGGGAACATAAAGGTTTGAATGTGGGCAGCAACCACATCAGGTATTTGGAAGTAGCAAAAGGACATCCTTACCAAATAAAAGGTGGTTTGATTATGATTCATAGCACTCATCAAGGCTTCTAATGAAAGCAGTGGTTTAATATGTTTTAAAATATCTATCTAATTACAAAATGAAAAGATAAATATTTCATGTACTGCAATCACACACATTCCAGAAAAGGCTATTTAAGAACTTTTAGGCATATATTTAGCCCATAAAAACCATGCACACACAAAAGAATGGTTTCCCTACTTGCACTGATCCAATATTGCTAATATGACACTGTAATTGTGTCTGTGGTTTGTTATCAGGTGCCTTATTTAAGAAAAATTCCTGAGTGTGAAGATTATCCAAAAGGCTACTATCAGGACTATTCAAGGCAGAATTATGTGAACATGGTTTGATTGTTCCAAATCATTTCCAACAAAGCATGTTTTAATATATTTTGTTGATTGATGTTTATTGCTTTTAATTTTGCACAGACCTGAGTCATACGTTGAACAGCTGCCCATATACTTTGAAAAACAGGCGGGGAAATAAAGAAAACAACATTAAACCTGTATCTTGAATTGCACCTGGGATCAACTGGCAGCCAACATAGCTCAACACAGATGTTGAGTGACAAAGGGATGACAAGAGAACATTATGATATTACTGACTTATGTACTATCACTATTATTATTATACCTAAAGAAAATTATGTAATAAAAGAAGCATTGTTGTAAGGATTACAACATCCTTTAAAAGTGTTAGAATGTGAACCACAGCTGCCCACAGCTGAACTGAAATGTTCTTTCCATTCATTCTTGAGTCCAGACAAAACAGCAGCAGCCTTGTGATCCCCATTGCTAATCACCATCCCACTTCTACTTCTGTGTTAAGTCCCTGAAGCCAACCAACTTCCTTCCAAGATAATGGATGACAGAAGACTTTGCTGCGTGACTTGCTAACTGCCAGCAGGCAATCCTTCCATAATCCTATTGAAAGGACGTGCATGGACGTCAAGAGCCTCAGCTTACACTTTTGGGATTAGAGACCATGTTTGATATGCTTTCCTGCTATGATGGATTGCAGAATGTCCAGCAAGTCCTGGGAACATAGTAGAAGAAATAAGGACATGGCAAGAGAGGTACCTTAATCCAGGGGTGGGCTTCAAAATTTTTAGCAAGGGGGTCTCTGCCTGGTTGCTGGGTGGGCATGGCCCTGGTGGGCGGAGCCAGCCAGGAGTGGGATTTGGGGGTTCTCTGAACTATGCAGAATCTTATCTAGGGGTTCTCCCGAGCCCCTGTGAACCCCCAGCAGCCCACCCCTGCCTTAATCTACAGGAGGGGAGAAAGCTCCTGAAAGAGATGTTTTCTTACATCAGACGTGACCAAGTTCTGCAGAAATGAGTTGAGCAGGCTTTCAAGATTCGTATGTTGCCCTCCTAGAAGTGACGACCTTCCCAGAAATCCAAGGGGTTCTTATCTCTTGAGCCCGTCTGCCCGGGAAGGGCTTGACACCCGGTATACTTCAAAAGTGGGGCTTTCTGACTTGCACAATCATGAGCCTGGTATGTGGTTTTTGCTACCATGCGTGCTCTTCATGTCTTTCTGAAACTTCCTCTACTTTGTGATGCAGATCTTGGACATTACGTGGATTGTTTTTTCTTTATCTCTAATAAGCAGTTTTAGTTCCCCATTCGGACCCTACAACCAGTGTTCCAAGGTGTAAGGCAAGCAATAAATGGTGAGAGAGGACCAGTGAATTACTGGACTCTTCCCCCCATTTCCAAGGCTGGGCTCATGAAATAGGGACTATTTCTGTTTTATTGAATTTATTGAATTTATTGATTTACTTATTTAACAGATACCCCGCCTTTATTATTTTTACAAATAAAGCAGTGAACTTATCCAACACACCTCCCTCTTTCTATTTTCCCCCAAAACAACAACCCTGCGACTTGGAGCTGAGAGAGTGTGATTGCCGTAAGGTCATCCAGCTGCCTTTCATGGCTCAGGTGGAATTCGGTCTCCCATATTGTAGCCTGGCGCCTTAACCACTAGACCAATCTGGCTCTCAAATGAGTGGAATTGACATGGCCAATTTCCCATAGTACCCCAACTATGAAATGGTGGTGTTTCCTTTCCCTACAAAACAGTCTACTAGTGGATGTACCACACAGATAAGTATTGAGTATGTGGGAAGAATCAATGGAAGTGGGGGAGGCTCATACAAAAAATCTGTCAATGGAAACCACATGCCAACATGTCCTTGGAATGGAAAGTTATTGGCACTTGTATGCTTAGCATAGGTGGGAGGAATTTACAAACAGGATTCTACCAATTAGGAGTCTTAGTTGCCAAAAACCCTAGAGTCCCAAAGGTGCTTTTTCAGGAGGCCACTGGACTTTCTTGTTTTTTCTTTGAAGACATTTTGCCTCTCCTCCAAGAAGCTTCTTCAGCTCTGACTGGATGGTGGGAAATGGAAGGATTTATATTCCTTGCAGGCAGCTGGTCATTTGCATTCTTTTAGAGAGTCTAATTCTTTTAGAGAGAGATTCTCTAAAAGAATGCAAATGACTGAGTGTGTCCAGTGACCTCCTGAAAAAGTACCTTTGGGACAACCGTGACATGGATGCCTGAGAATCTCCATAGACTCCAAAAACCCAATAGAATATTTAAGTGGCATTATTGTCAAAGCTTAAGAAATGAAAGCTGTACATTCTTAAATTGCTTACATTCAGCAGGGAAGACAGGAAGCTTGCTGGGAAGGAAGAACCAAAAGCCTGATGGAATTTATATACCTTGAAGTGCCATTGGGCAGAGGCGGAATAAGAGGAAATGCTATTTTAATACTGATACAACCCAATACGGTGGGCTGGGAATGACATGAAAGCAACAGCATCATGAGTGGATCAGTGGTGGGATTCAAAATCTTTACTACTAGTTCTGTGGGTGGGGCTTGGTGGGTGTGGCGTGGCATGGTGTGACTTGGTAGGCATGGCAGAGGAACAATACTGCAAAATCTTCATTCCCTCCCCACCCCACTAACCTGCTTTCCAGCTCCGTTCTCCTGTGCAGGGCAACAAAAGAAGACCCAGCCGATCAGCTGGGGCTCGGGAGGCAGAGAATAGATGTGGGCGGGGCCAGACAGAAGTGGTATTTGCTGGTTCTCCGGACTACTCAAAATTTCCGCTACCGGTTCTCCAGAAATGGTCAAAACCTGCTGAATACCACCGCTGGAGTGGATGATGGTAGACAAAAGAAGTTACTGGGGACATGTTTGGCTAGGTGCAACCTGGAAAAGTCTGTAGGGCTGTCAAATTCCTGGCCCGTGTACCGGATCCATCACAAGATGCCTACGTCCATGCCCGGTTTAGCAAAGGGGAAAAAAGTCCTGATATGTCACCTGACGCTGCCATGATGATGTGAGTTTGACCCCCTGATATAGAACATTGAAAATAAAACAAGATTTCCAACTTTTGATCTCTACCTTGCCACAGACAGGTAGACAGGGAGAAACCTGTGTCATTCAAAAATGAATGATTGGCCCCTACTGATATATCTGAAGAATCGTTGCTGTACTTTTAAGTAACAGTTTTAATCTCTCCCCCCCCCCCCCCCCCCCTCTTTCTCCCTCCCCCCCCCCCCCTCTCTGATTTCTGCCATGCTGTTGAAAATGGTGGGTTCCTTAATAAAAATTTAAAGACATTTATAAAAGGCACCAAATCATCAGATCTGGAAGAGATTGACAGATGGTGTTTTCGGACACCATCAGATTATCAAGGGGCAGAAAAATGTTAAGAGTCCCTTCTATGTGTCACTAGCTGAAGGAGGCGGGGGAAGAATAAGCAGATTGTTCAATCTCATAAGCAAAAAAAAATCTACCACCACTACATGCCCTGAGTAACACTGAGCGATCTGAGAAAACAGATTTATGTAACCTGCACCCTAAACCACAAGTCACATGGGTTTCCCCTATGCTTTTTTTTTTTTTGGTATATTTTGGGCTAGAGTAGTTATGCTTTTAGCTGGCTTCCTCACTCATGCAATGTTCTTCAGTGCTGGATGAGTTCAGCTTGAATGCAATATGTCCTTGAAGAGGCTGATTCAACAGAGAGGCAATGCCAACTGTGTGGGCTACTGTCTCAGCTCAAATTACAGCCCAACTTTGGAGCCAATTGATGGTCCACCTTTGGACAACCAGAGAAGCCAAATGTTCTCAGACCCAATTGGGAGATTGTCCAAGGACTGCAAACAGGTATGGCTAACTTCGGAATCCTTTGCGGGATTTATTTGTGTTGCCTATAAAAGGCATATTTCTTTCCTTTCTTTTTTTGGCTAACCAGAAATAGATTTGCCAGAAGATTTATTGGCAGCTCAAAAGATTCAAGCCTAACCTAGCTTAAGAGAAAGTTTTGTAGCAGGAGCATTGCTTGCATTACAGAAATTTAGTACGGATTTAGTTGGTGATATTTTTTTTTTAGTCTTCTCCTTTCTTTCACATTGCTCTCTGGTTTATATATAGAAAAATGGTTTTATATCTATATACATGTGCATATGTATTTTTGAACACTTTTTTCTTCCTCCCTCTTCTGGGATGCTTTTATTTCACCTGGCCAAATAATCCATAGCAATTTCAGCGCTACAAAAGTTGCGGGAGCGCACGGCGCCCTTTGCTCTTCTCTCTCAGACAGGAAAATGTTTGAGGCAGTCGCTAGGTCAGGGGTTTTCAAACTCGACAGCTTTAAGACTTGTGGACATCAGCTCCCAGAATTCCTCCTCCAGTCATGTTAGCTCAGGAATTCTGGGAGTTGAAGTCCACAAGTCTTAAACTTGCCAAGTTTGAAGACCCTTGCTCTAGGTAGTGGAGTGGTGTTGATAAAGGGATTGTAATCCCAACTGATTTTAATGCAATCCGAAGGCAGAGCCCAGAGGTAGCCCTGACTAAAGTTAGTTCTGGGAATTGCAGCCCTGACTCAACTGAAGGGAGCCAGGATAGAGAAGAGAAGATGCTTTCAGACTGCTGGTCACAGGTTCTGTGCTTAAGGTCAGGCCATAGTCCAAGCCACCTTTGACCGAAAATTATGTTGCTTTTTCTTAACTGTCTATCACTTGTGCCAAATGGGGGACTTTACGGTATTTAAGAATATGTTGAGGAGGTCAGACAGTGGTAGTTAAACCAGGAGCAGCTCTTACTGTCTATTTATAGGGAGATGAGATTTGTTGTCACAGATGTAATAATTAACTTCAGGCCATACAGTGGTGATGTTTAATTTTTAGATTACTTGAATAAATGTTTGCCTGATTACACAGCTTAACACTGAAATGTTCAGTTTATAAAAATGTATGGGAGGAAAAAGAAAGTGGCAATGAAAAATAACAAGCTAACACCCTCCCTTTCCCCAAAACATGAATTATTTTATTTCTACATTACAATTAACATCAGACGTGCATTATTTTATTTCCATTACATCTCCTCTCTATGTTTTATTTAATGCTTTAACTTGGGAAAACCTACTTTTATCACATGTATGTACCTGATAAGCAGAGGACAGGGATATTGTCTGAAGGAGATAACAGTGACTGACAGGTAGAAGATGGCTGTCAGTTTACTTTGACTTATGAAGATTATCTTTGGGTTGTTTAGAAGAGAAGCAAGGTTTGGTTACTGAGTTCACATATAGAAAATCTCAGAAAACCCCCCCCCCTTTTTTTTTTAATCTCAAAAGAAAGTAATAGAAAACCACAGTTGTATCATTGTCAGGAAAACTACAGCAGTGTGTAAAAGAGCCACCTAGAATGCATTTAATATTATGTTCAAAAGTCAGTCGATACTGTTGTTTGACTTCTTTTAACTCAAGGCAACAGTATTAAATGCTTTTAACTATTTTAATATTTCCCCTGGTTCATGTGCCACCCAGAGACCACCGGAATTGGGTGGGTAATACAAACAAACAAACAAACCATATTAAAAGGACCCAATTCACACCTTGTCCTGCCTCATTGGGGCTTCTATTTTTCCAGTGAGAAAGGGGCTACAGCATTCTCTCGATTTATGAACATCATGTGTATATCTAAAGATGCTTGAACCAAGTCCTCCTATAGTGTTTTAAGTAGTGCCAAGTTTAACCAAATTAGTAAATTCCAGATAAAAATTCTGTACAACTAGAATGGGCCTTAGTAATAAAATCAAAATCTGCAAACATACAGACTCCTATTGTTGCTGCTGTTGTTGCTGCTGCCATTGTTCTTTTTGCAAAGTTCCTTGATATTCTTGAATAAGGAATCTATGTGGATATGGCATTTTGTACAGAAAGATGGCAGAGACTGCCCTGTAAAAGTTTTGGAAGAATAAATAAACTGGAATTTGCATATAGTAACAAAAGGAGATATACAAATTCAAACAGAATTAGAAGGGCACATACATATATATTTGAACAATTAGCAAATTATCATGTGCTTTATATGAAAGTTATCAATAACCAATTTATGGCAAAACAAAGGAAGATTTCCCTTACCCATCCTAAATTACTGTGATAAGATCTTCATAGATCTGATGAGAGTTTTAGATGACTTTATGGAGAAGAAGCTGTCCATGATAACTGAATGAGATGTCCACATTGCAAAGAAAGGTCTCTCTTGTTCAGGGAGGCTTTTTGACAACCAAAGTAGCTGCTAGATATGACAGCTAGTCAGATGAATATATTTCTATTCTACTAGTAGTTAAAGATGGAAGACAACTATTATGGTTATAGAATAGAATTCCTTTATTGGCCAAGTGTGATTGGACACACAAGGAATTTGTCTTGGTGCAAATTCCAAGTTGGTGCAAATCCCATTATGGTCCATATGTGGTTTTCTACTATGAAAAAGTTGGTTATGAACAAAATTGGGGTCAATCAGAGCAAGATTTCTAACTTAGTTATACAATGGTCGGCTTCTCTTGAAGTATTTAGGAAAGCAGTTGTCTTTTTTATTTCACTATTAAGGATTCCTATCAATCCACATGTAATGTTTTTATCATGCAACTGATTTTATTTGATAGAAAAAATGCTTCTGTATGTAATGGAACTAATCTCCTGCTCTCTGTTTCTATTTCCAGCTTGCTTTAAATAGAACGAGCTCCATAAGCAAATCTGCTGGCCCACACAGGTAATAAAGACATTACTTTGCTCCTTTCTTTTATTATTTGTTTAGTGTCTACCTGCCTGTAAAGCAACAAATGTGCAGGAAGATAGAGGAACATAATGAATGGTGAGATATAAGCATGAGATTACTGCAGTGAAATATGTGGGCTGTACAGAGGTGAAAAGATTAAATAATTCATAAGGGCAACCAGTAACAATACTGTTATGCCACATTGCGGCAAAACGGCATTAAGAAATTAAGTAGGTGTGTATATTAGATTAAAAAAAAAAACCTCTTGGAAGACATTGCATGCAAGTTCATATCTATGTTAAAGAAACCGCTGATTGATCTGGTAGCAAATGCACGAGGAAGTGACCCGCCATTTTATGTTAAGCGTGTAACCTGAAAAGATGGATGCAGAAAATAAATATGCTGAATAGACATATTTGAACTGTGTGCCCGTTTTCCCAAAAATTATGCCAGGGAGATAAATATGAATATAAATTGCGAGCTGGAGGAGATGTGAGATAACAGCAAAATTGTTAGCCACTTTGGTCCACTTTGATTTCTCAGCTGTGTCCTTTGTTAATTTTTTCATATGTTGAACTGATATGGTTATATTAGAGTGATAACCGCCATCTGCCTTTTCTGTCCCCTATCATGACTGAAGCCCATTTTGAATTCAGTAGAATTGAAAACTCTCTCAGGTCTATTTTGTTATCTTTTTTTAGTTCAAACTTGGAGGTCCTTGCCTTGCCTTGCCTTGCCTTTTATCCAATTTGTGTCCATAATTTATTTCATTTATTTCACCATCATTCTTAGAGCCACTTTCTCCAGCATGGTCTCCTCCAATATATTTTGGGATTTTGTGCTACTTGAAAACTTCTGGAGGACACCAAACTGGAGTACTCTTTGATTTCCTCAATGTAGGAGTTTGTCGTATTACTTTTGTTATCAGTAAAGTTGAAGATTATTTCATAAGAAAAGGCCATTCAAAAGTTATTTTTGTTCACTATATCTTCCAATCACTACCGATAGCAATGTTAGATGGCATAGCTTAACAACTTCTTCCTATCTTATTTTTTGTGCAGAAAGACATTTAAAATCTTCAAGGAAGACAATGAAACATTTGGATTTGAAATCCAGGTGAGGCTTTAACTTTGTGAATATGCATTTCTGTGGCTAATGTGGCAAATAGTAATCCCAGAAGACTGATCTCAACAAAGGCATTCATTGATACTCCTAGAGATGCTCCTTACTTATTGATGTTCACCTTGGCTCATTCCACAGTGGTAGCAGGGCCTGAATGTTTCCTCTTAAAGTTTGTAGAGTGCTCTGCATCAAGCATTCTGGGGCCATTGTGGAGAATTGAAACAATAGCCCCTTACCATCCTTGGAGCGCTGCTTCTATTGACTTCCATACTGAATGCAGCACAAATGACAAGGAAGACCCATCAGAGTCATTTTGCTTAAGGAACTTACAGTTACATGCCAGTGCTGGGGCTTGATGGAAGAGACTTCAAAATTAGCCTCAAGTATGAAGCTGATGGAGCAATTTTAGGCCGCCTGCTGTTTGTTTACGGTACCTTACATTACACGTTTTTAGGGACAAACCATAACATTGCTCAGGCATATCTATGAAATCACAAGAGTGAAGTCACCATGAAAGAAACTGTCCTTTTGTTGTGGCCCATCGGTCTCAGGCCCCTCCAGCAACTGAATCAGAGGAGGAGGAGGAAGTTTGGGAGTCAGGGTCAGCATCAGGGCAACTCGGGAGCTCAGAGGAGGAAGAGGGAATGGAGCTGGCAGAGAGAGAGAGACAGACAGAGGTGGAGCCTGGGCCCTCAGGTGGAGAGTCAACAACCCCCCAGATCTGGAGGTGGCTGATGAGGAAGAGGAGGAACAGCTGGGTCCAGTGCCTGATGTGCAGATGCACGGAAAGCAGAGGAGAGGAGAGCAGTGGAAATCCCTGGGCCGATCCTTGGGAAGGAAGAGCCACCGCTGCTAACGAAGCCCCACCTTAGCTCTGAGGATAAAAGGCAGGGGGCAGAGATGAATAGATGTGGCAGACAACTATTCATCTTCCAGCTGGACAGACTTGTTAGCCTACGTTGAGAGGAAAACTTGTTGCCGGGGCTGCTGGTATTCCTAATAAAGGAATCTTTGAGTTAACTTCAGGGGGTTTGTCGTGTTTGGGGAGCTGGGTCAGCAGAACACCTTTCTTTGAAGGGAAACAGTGATATGTAGCCATCTTAATTCTTCGAAATAAACATTTGAAGGGATTATGTGGCACAGACAGGCAATACAAGTAAAAAAAAAAGAGGGATCTACTTCTTAAACATCTTAGCTATTCCTACGCAGAAGACATGCATGTGTCTGAGTATGTGCACTTTTCTCCCCTTGCCACTAAAACACATGCAAAGTGTTTCACTTTGTATGATTGTTGACCACACTTTTCCATGCAATTCTGGAGAATTAAAGAGGAAGACTAGAGCATGGTCCGCAGCAACTGGCACTGGTGCCCAAATGACAACAACGGTGTGATTTCTGATTCAAGCCATGCCATTTGCTGCTGATATCCCTTGTCCTCCTTTGTCACTCTGCCCACCGTCCAGCTGACTGCGGAGGGGGCTCTCTTTCAAGATTATAGCCAAGTCACTGCAAGACAGAATGAAAGGGGATTATTTGTTCTTCATAGGGCCATCCCTACCAGGGGGGTAAAATAAGTCGTTGACCCTCTGTATCAGATTCCACGAGATATATCTACATTGTGCTTTGGAGAGAGTTGAGTGTCGGGTAACTGGAGCTGCATCTTTAAGTTAACTTGCTCCCTTTAGATGCAGGGAAAGGTGGGATTCCTATCACAGTTGAAGAAACATCCAACTGCCCATTCAATCAGATTCTGTACAGCATGTGGCATGGTAGGGGATGCTACTTTGCCCTTTGTCTTAGGCAGTAAAATGTTTGGGTCTGGCTCCTGGGCCTTCCCTTTCAGGGGTTTCTATGAAGGATGTGGGGTCAAACAAGAGAGCAGCCACAAATGTGTGCAATGCACCTTTTCAAAAGTGGGATTTCTGTTGCATGATTGTGCTGCCCTCTTGCTTTTTCAACACTCCCCCCATTCCCTTTTCTTCCCTTTACGGCATGTTCTAAAAGCTGACGTCTAACACTGGGGAACAGTGCAGAGAATCTTCTGTGGCTCAATGGCCCAGCTTCCTCCTCCTCATATTGCTGAAAGCTTGGTAATCAGTCATGAAAGAACAGGACAGCCCAGTTGTTGGGTGGGAAGCCTATTTTTTCCTCTGATTGTTCTTATTATTTTTCTTGAAAGGATAAAAAAAGAGGAAATGTTTATTTTTGCATTTGACAAGTGAAGCTTTCCATGGGTGTAGGCAGTTTGGTAGAGTTGTAAGGCAACTCACCTTCCTGTACCATGTTGGAAGCTCAGGATAGCTTCTTACACATTGCCAAGAAGAAACACACCACCAAAATTGAAGACAAAACAAGACATCATTTTATATATTTTAAATTTAAATAGAATACACTAGCCCTTAGTGAGGATAAAGGGGTCTGTAGGAGCCATCTGCTTGTTGAGTCTACTAACTGTTGCCTAACTTCCAACTATAATGAGTCACTTCAAGGGCTTGGACTGGACAACTCTATCATGGACAATGGAGGATACTTTATAGTAGCCTTAATTCACATGTTTATCCCTGATTGATTTACTCCCCTTCATCTGTTGGATTTGTGTGATTAAACCAGTCAATTGACCACCACCCAAGCTAAAATATAGTTGGTTTCTCAATGAATCATGTGAACCCAACTAAAATAACAGGCTATTCTTTGAAAGGAGGACAGATGGCCACCCTAACGGTAGCTAGGAATTGGGGCCAAAAGCTGCAAGATAGAGTTTCTCTTCTAACAGCATTTTTTGTTTCATTTTTTAATTTTAATTCTTCTATTTTAGTGCCGAAGTAATCATTTCATGGAAACTTGCACTTATATTTGCAACGTGAAAGAAGGAAGCCCAGCTTTTCTTACCGGACTCCAACATGGTAACTAATCTTCCTTAGCATTCTCATGGTTTAAGGCAGAGGTAGGGAAACTTGGCTCTTTTATCACTTATGGACTTCGACTCCCAGAATTCCTGAGTGAGCCATAAAAGGTTCCCCATCCCTGGCCTACTAGTTTTTTCAGTTGTGGGGGAAATCAGTTTTTGACTTGAATGGGACTGTTTAATATACAAATGTAGCACATATTTGTCCTACATTTGTATATTAAACAGTCCCATTGAAGTCAAAAAGTGATTTCCCCCACAACTGAAAAACCAGTGGGCCAGGGATGGGGAACCTTTTATGGCTCACTCAGGAATTCTGGGAGTTGAAGTCCATAAGTGATAAAAGAGCCAAGTTTCCCTACCCCTGGTTTAAGGGATTATATTTCTGATAATGTAGAAAGGCTGATGAACACCAAAATACATATTCTAACATATTTCATTTTGCAATTGTCACAGGTTACATCCTGATCAGCATCAATGGAGTGAGCATTAAAGGACTAAGTCACAAAGAACAGGTGGACATGATTAAATCATCTAGGAATCTTTTAAGGTAACCAAGAAATCTTAGGCTTATTTTGGTAATATTATGTATTTGTTATTGATTGGGGTGGGCATTGCATTGGCTTTTCACAGGCTAAGGAAAGAATATGGTTGCTCTTCTTAGATTGGAAAGCCACTACAAATGGGAACAAACACATCTTTGTACTGTAAAGGGAGGAGAGATGGCAATATGACTTTTTGATGGATGAATGAGATACATCATAACAAAGGGACAAAGATTAAATCGTAGCACTCTGCCACTCAAAGTTAGTTTTCAAAAAAAAATAAATCAGAAATAGTGGACAGTCCAGCGGTTGTTCTTTTCTCTCATGGTTTTCATGAGATTCAACAACTAAACTAAATAAACCACCTTTCTCATTGTTTTTCCCTTTGGCTAATTGGAGCATGATTAAGTAGCATTCTTTTGCAACTATTGTCATTTCTTGACTACTGGCACTTATTTCTTTTTAGTTAAAGGAACTAAAAGTTTAACTTTTTGTTACATTATCTTACAGTTCAGATGGGAGGGGAATTGCATCCATTTTTTTCATCTCTCTCTCTCTCTCTCTCTCTCTCTCTCTCTCTCTCTCTCTCTCTCTCATTATTAGAGACCTCCAATAATGATACCACTGGCTATGATGGAAAAGTCACAGAGTCACAAAGTGAAAAACATTTGCCAACTCTAGCTTCTCTTGGCTCCTTAAATGATATTTATTTCTGCAGGCTATCTTTCTGAAATGGATTAATCCAAAACCACCCTTGCTTCCATTCCTAGGGTTGTATTGCCACTATAAAATTATATTAAAATGATGGTGGTGATTATGATGATGATATTAGTGATTCACTTATTGGTTAGACACTGATGATGATATCTTTAATTCAATTTATAGGTTAGATACGGGGAATGAAGCCCTGATTATGAAAAGAATGGAGCTGGAAACCAAGTTGCATTGTATGAAGGTATGATTCCTATGTAAAATGGAAAGCAAGGGTGTGCCCTGGCTTCAGTCAGATTCTAAGGTGAAGGGAACCTCCCTTGGGCAGCTCAGTGAGGTAAAGCTGGGTTCCAGCAAAAGCAGCCCCACTGAAACAGGATTATTGTCACACTTTGTGAGTAATTCAATGAACAGAGAAACAAACAATCTAGAAACAAAGACCACATCCAGGTTAATTCGTCCATACATGAAAAGACTTGATGTCAAAGTCAATTCCTCCACTTATCTACTTGGTGTTTTTATGCCAGGATTCGTCTCCCTGCTTTATAACTATGGGTATAAACTCAACCTGTTAACAAATAACGAACTCAAAGATGTACAGCTATTTATTAGTATTTGTTTAAAGTGCAACATTCACTGAAGCTACCTTAAAATTCTGCTGTCTTCTATAAAATTGGACAACCTTCTTGCCAAAAAGAACTATTTGGGCTAGACAACTTTCCCAAAGTTTTCCTTCTGATGCAGGGAGAATTCAAATGTGCTATGGAGGTTAAGAAAATGTGATCAAGGCCAGGGAGATCCAGATTCACTATCAAAACTCAATGAGACGATGTTCGACCTATTCTCACTCAATCTAATCTGCCTTACAGGGCTTTTCTAGTGGAAAAAAAAATAGAGGAAGAAAGTATCAGCCACTGCCTTTTTCTCCTGGGAAAAATAAAACCAGGCTGTAAATCCAATAAATAAAAGTTAAACAAGGTTGTCCACTTCTACTCTAGTGCTAGCCCTCAAAGTTCAAGAAAAAGTTAGGGGAACAAAAGGGCCAAAATAGAGAAGTTTTCAGCTGTACCATATTAATGGAAATCCAAGTCAGCTCTTTTTTACTTCCTTAGATACCGTGTTTCTCATATAATAAGGCCGGGTCTTATTTTTTTTTGAGCCCTGAAAAAATGGCTAGGCCATCTTTTCGGGGGTGACTTAATTCCCCCCACTTGCATCTTTGGGCGGGTGGGCGGCGACGGCTTGGATGTTGACCTCGGCGTTGGTGGGGCACTTTGTATCGGGGTCAACGCAGGCAGCACCATATCCAGGTGTGCAACAAAAGTACTTCCTAGTGGCAAGCCCCCCCGCCATTTCCCCCCCATTTCGCATGTTTTAATATAGGCCTTAATTTGGGGGGAGGGGCTTAATTTCATTTCATGCCTATAAAACATGCTGGGACTTCCTATTGGGAGAGGCCGTATTGTTGGAGAAACAGGGTAGTAATAGCACTTAGACTTACATACGTTTCACAGTGCTTTACAGCAGGGGTCCCCAACCACCGGTCCGCGGACCGGTACCGGTCCGTGGAACAAGTCCTACCGGGCCGCTGGCTTGCTGGGCGCTGCCATCTTGTTTTGATGAAAAAGTGCTTCCGGTGAGCTTTTCCGGGTACAAAGCTCACCGGAAGCACTTTTTCATCAAAACAAGATGGCGGCACCCAGCTGATGTCGGTACCGGGCCGCGACATAAAAAAGGTTGGGGATACCGGGCCGCGGCGTTAAAAAGGTTGGGGATCACTGCTTTACAGTCCTCTCTAAGCGGCTTACAGAGTCAGCCTATTGCTCCCAACAATCTGATCATGTGAACGGGGGGGGGGGGGGTGCAATGTTTGTTACAGTGGTGGGATTCAAATTTTTTTACTACCGGTTCTGTGGGCGTGGCTTGGTGGGCGTGGCAGGGGAAGGATACTGTAAAATCTCCAGTCAGAGGTGGGATTTGCTGGTTCTCTGAACTATTCAAAATTTCCACTACCGGTTCTCCAGAACTGGTCAGAACCTGCTGAATACCACCTCTGGGTTGTAAGTGTGAGAAACGGTCATAAGTCACTTTTTCAGGGCTGTTGTAACTTTGAACGGTCACTAAATGAACTGTTGTAAGTCGAGGACTAGCTGTGCTTTTCCATCCAGTCTTGAGACACCCTCAGGTCCGATTTGTCATGATGAGAAATAACTGAAGCATGGCATTGCTGCCTGATAAAAGACTGAGTTACGTTAGTTTCCAAATGACAAAGTGCTGTTTTCCCTTTGACAGAAAACTTTGCAAGATAAGTTGGCCGAGCTCCAGGCCTTGTGCTTACGAGAAAAGGACCTTGCTTGCGGTAAGTCTGAATTGCCCTGTTGCAGAAGTAAGAAACGGCAACACCCAATTTTTGTACGGACGGTATGCAAACTCATAACTTAATGGTTATGAAGTTGCTTAGTTTCAGTTTTGTCTGCGTAGTTTGAAGGAAGTTCTGAAGAGGAATAAGAGCCATATGCTGCTTCTACGAAAAGTACATTTGCGATAGTCTAAGTTGTGGGTGTGCCACATCAAGGAAGTTGTAAAATTAGATATAAAAGTCATTATTTTTTTAACCTTGCCTTTCTGATGGTTATTGGTGGTTATTAATTGCTTAGTTTTATTATAGTTCTTTATCAGTTCTCCAATAAACATTTGTGTAGGCTCACATATACTGGTAGATAGAGCAGATACATTAAGTAAACCAGCACTAATTTTTCTGTCTGATTCATATAATCTTTTCTGGCGGATTAGGAGTGGGAAAAGAATCAATGTTCTTCTTCACAGAGTGCTCTAGAAACTTCAAAACAAATTTTGGTTTGTGTTTGTTAATTTTTTCCCTTTTGGACTCTGCTGAGTTCTGATTGACAATTAAACATTTCAAAAGGTGCATGGTTTGTTTATTTATTACATTTATATGCTGCCTCTATAAGGTCACTCTGGATTTTTAAATTTGTTTAGCTTCGTCAAGCTCATGGAAGGGGATAGTGACAGAAAAAAGTTGCAATCTGGACTTTCTAAACTATAGCTTAGCATCCAGAGCCTGAAAATAATCCAAGCGATCGTTCTCAGTATTCTCCTCCATTGAGTTTGCTGGCTCTGTATCATAGCAATTTATTGTCTCTTTAGAGTCAACCAAGCATTGTTTAGGCCAGTGTTTCTCAACTTTGGGCACTTGAAGATGTGTGGACTTCAACTCCCAGAATTCCCCAGGTCAGTGGTCAAGGTTGAGAAGCACTGATTTTAGGCCAAAATGACACCAATGAGAACAGGCCTTATTGCTTCAACAGGGCCGAGTGATACTAGGAAACCTTTACCAGTGATTACCAAGGAAACAGCATTAAAGGTTGCTAGGGATTGTAACTCAGTAATATGAGAAGACCTTCAGGTCAGCCTTATGCCTGTTCAACTCTCATATTCATACAGAATAAGTCTGGAAACTAACCTTTTGCGCCACAGGTAAAGCCTTCCAGTGTCTTCACAGTACTCAAATGGCACTTTTGGTATTCTTCTGGTACAAACAAACGTTTCTGAGAATATAACGCTTGTTCTCTTCCATTTGTTCTTTAGGAGAAGTCTGCTCACTACCAGATTCTGCAGGATTAGAAGGACCTCATATCTTTGGTGATCATGCTGGATTAGAATCCGCACTGAGCAGTAAGCCCCGATTTTCCAGCGAAAGCAGCTGCTTAAGCCGCCTTAGCTCAATGACTGTGGATAGCGAGGACAGTTTTTACCAATTCAGTGTTTTCAAAGACCCCGCTAAAGAGATTTTTAGCCGACAGTCAAGCGCAGAAGATGACTGCTTTCTTCCAATTGGTAGCAATGAAGTGAAGAAGACATCACTGAGAAGGCATCGGAGTATCAGTGTGACCAGCAATGTCTGTAGATCTCCTTCAAAGAAGGGAGATAACTTCTCAAAGATCTTTGGGACTCTCCCACGGAAAAGCAGAAAGGGAAGTATTCAAAGGAAGCTGTTGACTTTCATTCCTGGCCTTCACCGAGCCGTGGAAGAGAATGAAAGTCGTGTCTAACAGCAACTTTAGAATGACGTTGAAATCTTGGACTACAATTTGCATTTTTGAAATCAAACCTGGCCTGCATTTCATATTCTCAATCAGCAAATGAATAGCAGTAAAATATGTAGCTTGGATTGATAGCTTTGGGATTTTTTTTTTCCTGATATAGTTTCAGGACAACTGGATTGATAACATACATTTGGGTGTTATTTGTGGATTTTTGGCGGGAAGCAGGAAAGATGGTGACTAGAGAGTCTTTGCCTGGTAATATTACAATATAGGCCTGAAACAACGAGAAGGCAGCAATTTGTAGTAGCTAAGACTTCACATACATCTATAAGTGTTCAATTGCTAGCAAAAAAAGTTAAATGCATTTTTAAAATAAAAATATATATTGTCCTGGTTCCCCAACATCTGACTCGCACCTGGTAAATCTGGGTAATGACTAAACCAACATGATTTATGTCACTCTAATGTTTGAGGTAGACAAGTGAAGCATTAGAGGTCTTTGCCCAAGGACCCACACTGGCAAAATACAGGGAGTTTTTGACTTACAACCATAATTGAGCCCAAATTTTCTGTTGTTGTGAAACATTTGTTAAGTGAGTTTTGCTCCATTTTACAATCTTTCTTGCCACAATCGTAACTTGTAACTGAAGTTGACAAGTTAGTAACTTGGTTGTAAAGTGTATCTGGCTTCCCCATTGACTTTGCTTGTCGGAAGTTTGCAAAAGCTTGACCACATGACCTTAGTGCACAGCAATGGTCATAAATATGAATCAGTTGCCAAGCATCTGCATTTTGATCACATGATCATGGAGATGCTTCAAAGGTTGTAATTGAAAAACGGTCATAAGTCATTTTTTTCCAGTGCTGTTGTAACTTTTGAACAGTCATAAATGAACTGTTGTAAGTGGAGAACTACCTGTAGGTACCAGTTGGGATTTGAACCCAGTCTCTCCCATTCCAACCACTGTCTAGTAATGTGACAGCAACATTAGGAGAAGGGATTATGAGAAGGTGGAGATGTGCCAGGGCCTGTAGGAGGCGCTAGAGGGGATGTGGAAAGTAGAGGCCAAAGTGATCCCAGTGGTCATATGAGCACTGGGGGCTTTGACTCCTAAGTAGGGAGAGGGATTCCAACAAATTCCAGGAACAGCCAAGATCCCTCGAATTCCCGGGGCCCAAGACTGAGGAAGACGCAGTCTACCCATAGGGGTAAGAAAGGTTTTTTTTTTAAATGTTGCAAATAAATGTTCTAAAGAAGCTGTATGTGAACCAGAAATCTGTGTGAGTATGTTCAGAGAAATGCAATGATTTTTATGATTGGAACACTTTGGAAGAATATAAACATCATGAAGCCAATTGGAATAAGGGTGAGAATTAAAACAGGCTGCTACTATACTCATCGACCTATAGTCCAGTGGTCACCAACCAGTGGGCCAGGGACCACTGGTGGTCCATGAGAAAATTTTGGTGGTCCACAGAGAAATGTCACCCCCAAAGCACCCCCCAAAGCAATTAATCCAGGCTGCACGGGAACACAAGGCTGTGCCGCCCACATGGCCCATGGGAACACAAGGCTTGCGTCACTTGCATTGCGAACAACACGAGTAGTGAGGGGAGGAGGGAAAGGGCGGAGGGGGGAACTTGCCCCATGCACCTGGCCTGGCCACCGGCCGGCTTCTTTCCACTTCTTTCTTCTTCTGCTTTTGGCTGAATGCAAGGAAAGCAGCAAAAGTCTTTCTTTCTCTCCCCAAGCTCTGCCAGAAATGAGTCTTTGGGACCCTTCAAGGCATCCTGCTCCAAGAAGCTGCGCTGGTGCAACAAGTCTCACAAAACTCACTTCTGGTGGAGTTTGGGGGAAGAGAAAAAAAGACTTCTGCTGCTTCTGCTGCTTTCCTTGCATGAAGCCAAAAGTCTCTCTCTCTCTCTCCCCCCGAGAATGAAGCTGGAGATGGTATCCTGCAATCCCAAACAAAGAATGATCAATTGGTAGGAAAACAGGGTGGGGAATTTTCCTGCAGACTTTTTTTGAGATTTTCCCAGGGTCTCTGGTCTGCAGGATTTAAAATTATGAGTTTGGTGATCCCTGAGATCCAAAAGGTTGGTGACTCCTGCTATAGTCCACCCCTTACTTCTTGTGGAGGAATTGAAGCTGGAGTAGGCCCAAAGGAAATGTTGTTAGCATACTGAATTACGATAATAGCTATTGCTTTTATATTTTTATATATTGATATTTCCTGTTCTTTGAACTCCCTGGCTTTTTTACAGAAGAACTCAACATTGAAAGAGGAAGTGCTTCAGTACAAAGATTCTACCTCTTCTTCTTTTTCTCTTTATAAATATAGTCTGAATGATAATTTAACCCATGGGTTAATTAGAATATTGACTTTTAAGCGTTTTTTAATATATTGACTTTTAAGCGTTCAAACTTTGTATTTATTGCCTGCTGCTTTGCGTTTGAGCTGGTTGAGAACATATGGATGCCGAAATTTCAGTGAACTCTTCAAAAATGGAAACATTGGAGATTTGTCATCCAAGACTGGAAAAAAAAGGAACAGGTCAAGCAGACTGAAAAATAAAATGTCAAATATAAATATCCACCTTAAAAAAACAAAACAAAATATGTAACATTTGGATTTGTATTGCTTAAAGGTGTTTGACTAGTTCCACCTTTGAAGTAAAATGGTTGAACTGGCAAACTTCCTAAGACACCTGTCTCTGGAGAGTGAATCTTTTAGAAGGAGATGAATCATTTTTAATTTCCAGGCAAAATGTTCCCTTTCATAAATCAACAAAATAAACACTGCTTTGATAGCACCACTTAGCAAATTTCTTTCAGTTCTTGTTCCCTTATTCACCACCTTGGGTCCTGTTAGTAGACGGATTCTGAATAGACATACTGTTTGCATTTCCAACATGGTATCTGAAGCAAACTTTAACTTAACGAAGCATGTGTCTCGACTGATATAAACACAAACATATCAATCAGCTAAAGATAATTCTCCATCACAATCTCCAGAGGAACTTCGTGGGGCAGCTGCAGTGTTGCAGTCAATACCTGCAGTTTCAGCTTATATTATTACCTTGAGAGCAGCTGAGACTTTCATTTCTCTTTCCAGTGAAAATGCTCCACACTTGAATTTTTCCACAGTGCAGCCTGAAGCTGCTTGATTACTGTGTGTAAACTCTCCAGAAATGAAGCCAGCTTATGAACCCCCTGTCTGGATTTCAGCACCTTTCCCTACTTTGTTCCCAATGCTGGCCCTCTATTCTCTTTGGCCAAAGGCTACTTAATCCTCTAACACAGTGATCCCCAACCATTTTTATGCCGCGGCCTGGTACTGGCATCAGCTGGGTGCCGCGGCCCGGTACCGGCATCAGCTGGGCGCCGCCATCTTTTTTTGATGAAAAAGTGCTTCCGGTGAGCTTTCTACCCGGAAAAGCTCACCGGAAGCACTTTTTCATCAAAAAAAGATGGCGGCGCCCAGCAATCAGCGGCCCGGTAGGACTTGTTCCGCGGACCGGTACCGGTCCATGGACCGGTGGTTGGGGACCCCTGCTCTAACAAGTGGATCTTCCTGGTTTTTTTTACCCTTCCCATCCTGGCCATGAAACAAGCTATAATCACTTTCCTTTCTTTGAGCAGGTCAGGAAGAATGAGAAGGAAGGGAGGAAGCGTGGAAGGGAGGGAGGAAGGGAGGGAGGGAGGGAGGGAGGGAGGAAGCGAGGAAGGAAGGAAGGGAGGGAAGAAGGGAGGGAGGAAGGGAGGGAGGGAAGGAGGGATGAAGGAAGCGAGGAAGGAAGGTAGGAAAGGAGGGAGGGAGGAAGGAAGGGAGAGAGGGAGGGAAGGAGGGAGGGAGGAAGAGAGGGAGGAAGGGAGGGAGGGAGGGAGGGAGGGAAGGAGGAAGGAAGGGAGGGAGGGAGGGTGGAAGGAAGGAAAGAAGGAAGGAAGGAAGGAAGGAAAGAAGGGAGGGAGGGAGGGAGGAAGACCAGCCATTCACTTGGACTAGAAGGGGAAATCGGTGTGTGTGTGTGTGTGTGTGTCTTTTAAATCCAAAGGGAAGAAGAAGAAGGTTCCTTGGTTCAGGTCTCCTTGCAAGAGGACAGGTGGGAGGGAGCCCAGGACAATATGATCAGAGAGGACAGTGAACCCTGATGGAAACATTCCTGACAGCCTACAAGTAGCCACTTGAGAAGGCGTCTATCTGTAATGAAATGAAAACTAGTAGGCAAACTGACAAGGTGAGCCCTTTAGCACCCAGTCCCCATATTGGAGATTCTCCCCCCCCCCCCAATAGCATTTAAAAATAAAGCTACCTAAAATCACTAAAGTCATATAATTAAACATCTGAGATAACCGTGGGCATAAGTAGTACATCAGTAAGAAGCACAAATAGCACCGGAGTATGATCATGACCAATCAGTTATCCCAAAAGTGTTTTTCCCAAGAGGCAAATGGACTTCCTTGTTTTCCTTTGAAGACATTTAGCTTCTCATCCAAGAAGCTTCTTTTGCTGTGACCGGATGGTGGAGAATGGAAGGATTTATATTCCTAGCAGACAGCCGGTCGTTTGCATTCTTTTAGAAAGTCATTGAGGCCACTTGGAGGTTTGACTACGACCTCCAGGTTACCTGAGTGGTGCAAATCAGTTCCCTCTCTCATCACACACGTATATGGGCCTTTCTTAGACAGGCCACCAACTTACGCCCTCCAGCAGTGCACCGTTACCCCACTTGGGACCTTAACAAAGTCCTTCTCTCTCTCACCAAAGAGCCTTTCAAACCTTTGAGGGAGTCAAGCCTCCAATTTTTGACATACAAGGTAGTTTTCCTTGTAGCCATTACATCCGCTCGGCGCATATCAGAAATAGCAGCCTTGTCTGTCAGACAAGGCCTTTTGGAACTGTTGAAAGGACTGTGTTGTAGACAGGAGATAGATGATGTCATATCCTTCCCCCTCCATTGAGAGAGAACGGTTTAATTTTGACATAGATGGCCTCTTTGACCCTCTCTTTCAAACC